TAATAGCATGAAGTAGAAATGATACATGTCCCTTGTGAGCTAAGGTGGTTAAACATGTGGGGTGTCTTCCCCATACTCTTTTTTTAAAAATATTTTTTATTGATTTCGGAGAGGAAGGGAGAGGGAGAGAGATATAGAAACAATGAGAATCATTGATGAGAGAATCATTGATCGGCTGCCTCCTGCACACCCCACACTGGGAATGGAGCCCTCAACCTGAGCACGTACCCTGACCAGGAATTGAAATGTGACCTCCTGGTTCATAGGTCAGTGCTCAACGACTGGTTCATAGGTCGACGCTCAACCAATAAAGAGTATGGAGCCAAGCCCCCTTACTTTTATATTGTCCCCCTGTCTTGCAGCTTGGAGGTATAAGAGTGATCGGAAGGTACAAGATGGCAGGACCAAGTTAGAATTAGGATGGGTCCTCAAGTTCCCACTTGGAGGGCAGCCACTTGGAGGAGAACTACCCAACCTGCATCCACATGATCTGAATGAAAAATAAACATCTATTCTCTTACATCACTGGGGTTGTTTGACACCAAGCCTATTCTGAGTAATGCAGGCCCTCTCTGAAGTGTTAATTCTTGTAAGTTTGCATTTTAGGTGAACTCAGGTGTGGCTATTTCCCTCTGTGTATCCGTGTGGTCCAAGAGGAGTAATCCATGAAGGATAAACAAGGTGGAAGAAAAGTGCTGACCTGAAGTGGCTGAGGGCCAATGGGTGTCCTTCGCTGGTAGTTGGAGATGTCTCCCACTAATAGAAGCTAGAGGATCATGATTTCCCTAGCAAATACTATGATCACAGGTCTGCCCCCAATGCAGGAGGTCTGTCCCAGCTGACAGGGCAGAGCAGAATGTGCTGTTCTGTATTCTCCATCACACCAGATAGAGGCTTATCACTTGGCCTTTTTCCATATCAGCTGGGTGGCTGGTCAGTTTTCCAGGCCAGCTATTCTTCTGGAGCCTGGGTGTCAACTAGGAGGCTAACACCAGAGCCACTACTCAAATCTCATGGTGCCAATATAATGGGCACACTGACCAATGTTAGATAGTTCTGGGTGTCAAAGATCACCAGGTACTCTTGCCACAAACCCATCACAGATGCCTCCCTGAGACCGAAGACCTTGAATAAATGTCTCCTTCCTGGGTTTCTGCTTTCTTCCCCTTTCTTCTTGCCATACTCATCAAATATGGGAATAACCAAATATCTTCCCAGCTCACCTTTCAAGACTGAGATGAAGCCAGTAAAGTTTTGCCCACGTTATTACGAGTTGGGGGCTTTGCTTCACACAGTGAGAGACACCATGAAAGTGCTCCCCTGGTCACATTAAAGGAAACTGGGATGCCGTGTTTTCATCCTAGAAGCTTGTTGAAAATGGTCTTTTAAAGACGAAAGCAAGTCTAGCTAGTGGAAAGGAGAGTAGAATAAAGAGTTATTGGGATGTGAAAAAAATAAAAGGCTTTAGAACAACTGAGAGAAAGATGTATTGAAGTGAAGAGTGAATAAAATATTAAGGAAATAAAAGGAGTGGAGGTGACCATTAGTAACAGTTAAAGTAGAAAAAGATAAGTCATTGAGAATTGAGGAGAAAGATGAAAAAAGATAAAAGGGTATATTACTGTCTGAACAAAGAGAGCAGGGAGCTGTGGACAGAATAAACATTCCCTGTAATTTGCTAAAAGCTGAACACAGAACCAGTGGAATATGAGCAGATGTATGGGGTATGAGCAGATGTACTAGGTCTGTCAGGCAAGGAGACAACACTATCAGACAACCATGTAGAATAGTGAAAATTATAGATAACAATTGATTATGCTATGTTTATACCTTCTGTAAATTCACAATGGTTGGAAATCAAAGCTCTTAAATAGGGCAAATATAAAGGAAAACTGGAAAGAGAAAATGATATAAGCCCAAAATAATGTTAGTAACTTGGTTTCTTTTAATATCTGTTATTACCTAGAATATCAGATTATATTTATATATCATTAAAATATCCAAAGCCATTTCCTGGGTCTCAACCTCCAATATGTAAGTATTTTAACACTTTCTGGTCTTGTTTGATCATTTTCCATTTTCATCCAGATGCTGGCCTTATATCAATATAGTGTTCATGCTGACAGTACTCATCACTCAGTTTCTTAATCACATTTTTCAGAGACAGAAGGGTCTTGTGTTGAACTATGAGGAAATGCATGAAAGAACTGAGAATGAGAGAGGAAAGGGGAAAGAGGAGGCATGGAGAAGAGAGAAAGACTTAAAATGTTACTTAGGGAAAAAAGTTTATTCAGTATCTTGAGTTTGTATTTCCTCTTGCAAGTGGAATAGAGCAATCTCTTCTACTACTTCTGGAAATCCAGATTTTCCAAACACTATCCAACAGGCCATCTCTAATCTCTAAAAACTTTCTTCTTTATTCAGGCACAGTTAAACATATTCACAAGGTCTATACCAGCCGTGGGCAAACTACGGCCCACGGGCCGGATCTGGCCCGTTTGAAATGAATAAAACTAAAAAAAAAAAAAAAAAAAAAAAAAAAAAAGACCGTACCCTTTTATGTAAGGATGTTTACTTTGAATTTATATTAGTTCACACAAACACTCCATCCATGCTTTTGTTCCGGCCCTCTGGTCCAGTTTAAGAACCCATTGTGGCCCTCGAGTCAAAAAGTTTCCCCACCCCTGGTCTATACTCATAATAACCTCTGTCCATTGCTTTGAGATGAACTCAAAAGTACCTAACTAGATCTGCTCCCTGTATTTTCCACCCTAATAATATATATGGACCTACAGTTTCACTGAGAGGGGGTTGTCAGACTTTGCTGACTATAATTCACACACAAAGTCACATATAAATATTTAAGATCTTCAATTCCCGTATCATTGACTTTTCTTGAATGTGCTATCATCGATAATCAAACCAGTTCTATTTACCATTTACTAGCTTACACAGAACCAACAACCATAACCCACTTAATTACTTAGGGATTGAAAACACATACACACACACACACACACACACACACACACCGGTGATATTGGAATGTACAGTATGGTTTAGTTTAAATTAAAAAGATCCCCCAAAGTATGATTGTTTCCAGCTTCTCAGCAGTGAATTAAAAGCTGTGTGGTGTAGTGAAGATTACAGAAGCAATCACATTTACTAGTATGAGCCTGCTTTGCATATCAACACTATTAATTTCCATACTCAGGGTGGCTTCACATTTCCACGTGTTAATATAGATACCATTTGGGATGATCACTGGAAAAAAAGAGAAGTGTTTGTGTGTGTGTGTGTGAGAGAGAGAGAGAGAGAGAGAGAGAGAGAGAGAGAGAGAGAAGAGCAGCTGATACAGATGAGAGGAGACCCAGAAAAATGGTTCTCACAAACCAAGTTTTGTTTGAAATATATTGATTCTGATTAATAGCAAAATCAAAAGACAAATGAGGGTTTCTGATGGCCTGACCCAGGAGTCACACTCAGGGATCAAATGAATATGAAATCACATATTGGAATTCACTTATTGTGCCAGTCCTGCACAGTGTCATTACAGACTCTAATTATTGAAATGATTTCATTGGTGTAATTGCATCAAGATGTGCCTGGGCTTCCCCTTGGATAGCTCCCTTGATGCTCGACATTGCATCTTCATTATTGTGTTCCTTTCAACTCTTAAACTGTGTTCCAGCCTCACAGAACACTCTACTCAAGCAGGCTGTCGTCGTTTTTTTTTAACTGTTCTTTAAAATGCCAGCCACAGCACAGGAATGAAGGAATGTGGGCCAGCCTCGAAGGCAAACCTGAGGCCAGAGGGGCAAATGTACAATTATCTTCCCTGAGGGGACCTCGGAGCATCTGACCAAATTACAACACTGTTTTCATATCCTTCATTCCAAAGTGTTAAAGAACAGTGCTCAAGAACCTACAATTAAATGGCTATTTGTCTACCATCAGTAGTAAATTCTACTCTGCTAAAGCTATTTTTGTTATGAGTTTAGCAATGTATTCCATGCTATCATAAAGATTAAACAATATAATATCATCATTAAATAACATAAGAAGATTATAACCACAGGTCTGAGCATATTTTAAGGAAATTAAATGGAATTTGGGAAGATTTGAGTTTAATCCACAAATAGCCAGTAGAGGTTTTGACTCTTTTCTGGAAAACCATCTTATTAGCCTTAAGAAATATAGTGCCCAGTGAAATAAGCCAGTCAGAGAAAGACAAATACCATATGATCTTACTTATATGTGGAATCTAATGAACAAAATAAACTGATGAACAAGATAGAACCAGAGTCATAGATACATGGTACAGACTGATAAAAGTCAGAGGGGAGGTCCGAGGTGTGGGTGGTATAAAAAAACAAAAGGTGAAGAGAAAAGCCAAAAAACATATATGCATAGCACATGGACACAGACAACAATATGGTTAGGGCCAAAGGGAGGGAAGGGTGAGGTCTGGGTGGAGCGGGGCAAATTGAGGGGGAGGAAATGGGGGACATCTGTAATAATGCCAACAATAAAAATAAACATTTTAAAATAAGGGTTTTGAGTTCCTATGCCTAAAAATTTCCAGAAGCCAAATCCTGCCCTCACCATTATTTTGACCTATGCTGTGAACGACATAATACAGGTAGGACAGTGGTCCACAGGAAGGCAATGGTTCTGCTTTCAGGGATCTGCCAGGCGAAATGAATTTCATTTCCTTTACACAGAATAGTACTCACATTGGAAGGTGGCGGTCTCCTTTCGTGGGAGTGGTTGGAAAATACTCACCAGTGATCAAATACTAAAAAGAGATACACATGACACTGTTCACCTCTAAGCTGGCAAGACCCTAATTCAAGACCATCCACTCTGGGCCAAGCAGAATGAGAATAATGGGCAGAAAAATGCTTAGTGTAAGGAATACCACATCCCGAGACATATTAACAGACACTGGTGAATTTAAATATGAAAATAGGCCAGAAATATCCAGCGACATTGCTTACAGTTCAGAATCGCCTGGTCCTCGATGAATTCCACTGGCTGATTGATGTGGAACAGTTTCTGCTGAAATCCAGGAGTGCAGTCCAAATCTTCTGCAGATGTTAGCAGCAGCACCTGAGAACACCAAAGCCATCAATATTTTAACATCAGCTCATGTGTTGGGCCTGCTTCCTTGTACCAAATCTGTGACTTTTAGAAATGAGCTGAGGATTTAATTTCATTTCCCAAATGAAGAGGTAAGTTGATACTTCTCCTGTGGTTGCCAACAATGTTGTTTTGGCAATGAGATTTGGAAAATGTGCAAATGGGAACAGCTGCAGCAGTTTCCATTCAGTTGCAGTTAAAGGAATAAGTTAGTCAGATTTTTATACCTGCTAAGAATCTCACCACAGTTTCCATGTGTGAAATTTCATTACAAAATCTGTCAATTTTATACAATGCCTGAGTTAAAACCAACTTCGCTTTCATAGAGGCGAAGGAGCATTATCATCTGTGAGAGGAGGAAAACTAACTATTCCATTTGGAAGTTACTTCTAAAAGGATTCTAGGGCCCACTAGACCTTCACAGTCCAAGATGGGGGCCATGACCACACACGGCTACAGACCCCTGAAAATGTAGCTGGGCTGAAATTGTCAGTATAAAATACTTGTTGGATTTTGAAGCCTGAATACCAAAAAGCAAAAATAAAGTAAAATATCTAATTAATCACTTTTATATGAACTACACATTGAAATTATCATGTTTTACAGATTGGACTAAATGTTATTAAGATTAATTTGACCACGCTTTTTACTTTTGTAAATTTGGCTGCTAGAACATTAAAAATTTACAATTGCTTCCAAAGCCTCAGCTTTGCCTTTGAAAGTCCTTGGGACGCTTCATCCAGGGCTCAAAAACTTAGGATATATATTTTGGAACCTAAAACGGCACACTCCTGAACAAGAGGCAATTTAGTAAGTAAGAAATAGTTGTAGGTTTAGTAGGCAAAGACTGTAAGGCCTGTGAAGTTAGGGATCGCCTCTCTTCCCAAGCACCTACCACAAAAGATACTCCATTATGACTGCTAACGTTTTCACCCCTTACTATATGTCCAGCACTGTGCTAAGTTTGCTAGATGCATTATCCCCTTTAAACTCCACAAGCCCTGTGACGTACCTAGTGTAAGATACATTTTTATAGACAAGGAGCCTGGCATCCTAGTGCAGTTAACAATGTTTGCCCAAGGTCCTCCATTTAGGATGGCAGAGCCAGAGTTTGAATCCAGGTTTAAGGGTCCACTGTCAGAGCCCCTCTCGTACCCCTCAGGCTTCCCACATGGCGTGGGACTTTGCATTATCATCCTTGAGATATCTCTGTGGTCTGTGGGAGGCTGCTTTACCTGAGCATGGTCCCAGCAGAGGGTTTTGGAAATTCACAACCCCAGGAGCAGCCTGTGACCAGAACTGATGAGAGCTGGTGCACACATACACCGGCTCTCCGGCCCCTCAGGTGAGATAGCAGTTTCCACGTGGACTTGAGCTCCAGCTGCCCACAGTGGTATCTGACTTAATAGCGCACCTTCCATTTGCTATCTTCTCTCCCTTGGCTCATTTCCTCATCCCTGTTGGCATTTTTCTGACATCACCCTCCAGATAAAACTACTTGGCTCTCAAATCCTTGACTAGGTGTTTGTTTCTTGGGAAACCAACATTGGATACCAGAACACAAACTCTTAACCACTGCACACAGGCTGTTGAAGGAAAGTCATTACCATCCCCACCGGCAAACTCAAAGGAGTGTACAAAAGGTTGGAAGCTGTGGGACCAAGGCTTCTCTCTAAATACCAGCCTCTGAAATGCACTGAACCTCAAGGAACAAGAGCAACCATCAATCTCTGGAGGTTCGCGGTGCAGCCGGCCTGAGAAACATCAGAGAAATTGCAACGGGAGAGTCATCACCCTGCCCGACATCATCTTTCTAAAATCAAAGGGGGAAGGATGCTGTAGCCCAGTGCCCGTACAGTCCTGCTTGTAAAACGCCCCCTTGCTTTGAGAGCAGGCTCTGGTTAAATCACTGCTGAGGCAATCATAATGCTGACAACCCAGTGGCACACACAGAATGCAGATTCAGGACTCAGAATAATTAGCTGGCAATTTTGCAAGCAGAAGATCTATAACTGGCCAACATTAATTCAGTTAAACAGCAAATGGTCAAAGGTTGCCTCCAGGCACCCTGTGTCTACAATTACATATTAACCTTCTAATCATCTCATTCTGCTTACAAATCCCAGACCAGTAAGCCAGGCATCCCTTAGGACCATCGGAGATGATGTTTCTCCAGGGATCCTGAGTGTAAGAAACCAGAACTGATGGAGAGTCTGGGTGAGTCCCCCATTCCTGTCTCTCTGCAGCTCACTCTGTCCTCATTCCTTGGCAGGTTCTATTCGGGATTCCTCTGGGGTCATAAAGGAAAAAGAAACCTTTCCCAACTGCTGATCCTCAGGGAGGGTGGGAATGGTGGGAGGCTCCAGCTCTGTTTTTGCAAATTCTTGGGTCACTTCACTGACCAGTCAAAATTCAGGTTAAATGCTTAATAATATAAAAGCATGCAGCACTTCCACAGGCAGGGTGTGGCTTAGCAAGGTAGGCACTAGTCCAGTGATTAATTCGCTCACTCCTCCCAGCGCTCACCCATCCGCTTGTGCCCCAATACTCACTGAACTCTAGGGCTCAGTGAGCACTGGCTGGGGGGCGTGTAGAGGGAGAATGGGTTCTGGAGCTCAGAGAAGCCGTCAGTGCAGCAGTCAAAGCAACAACTCCAGAGTCACTTTAATGGTTCAAATCTGGGCCCTGTCCTTTACTGACTGGATGGTCTGCATTTTTCATGGTCCCTCTCTGTCTGTTTTCAAATCTAGAAAAACATGGGAAATCGGATGTGCACTGGGAGGGGCTGGTGGATTCAGTGGGCAGCTGCAGGTAAAGCAATCAGTGCCACGCGGAATGTAAGTAGTCAGTGTGTGCTGACCGTCAGTGTAGACTAGAAAAGGTGAGAGGCCGTAACAAGTCATAATTTAATGTATTGATTAAAATTCAATTTGACTTGAACGGAAATTATAGGTCTCTTCGGGAACATGTAAGAGCTGAGGACAGGGAGTCTAATTTCATAAAGAGGGATCAGAAACTAAACCCACAGCAAAAAACA